TTCAGTTTCCAGATCTGTTTTAAACCTCATATATTCTATCATCTGAGCATCACAAGCTTGAGTGCATCTGTCCATCCCCAACAGGTGGGGGCCCAGATGGGCTGTTTCTGAACATGCTCCCAGGTGATGCTGCTGGTCTGGGACCCCGAGTGGTCGGAAGGGCCCCAATGAGCTCCTTTGGACGCCCCACGACTCGGACCTTCTGTTGCTAGACCCCAACCCTAGAACTAAAGACAGGGCAGTCAGACTCACCGAGGGGCTGCATGCATTCCATATCTAATTGGCACATGGCCCCAAAATGGCCAGAGGCCCCACTCTGCCCCTTTGCCTGGAGCCTAGTCCCCCAGATGCCTGAGGTGTCCCAGGCCCTGCCCTGTCCCCACCTGACCTCGCCCCACCTCCCGCCAGGCTTTGTGCTGCAGTACTCGGTAGACAACAGCGAGGAGTGGAAGGACGTGTTCATCAGCTCCAGCGAGCGCTCCTTCAAGCTCGACAGCCTCAAGTGTGGCACGTGGTACAAGGTGAAGCTGGCGGCCAAGAACAGCGTGGGCTCGGGGCGCATCAGCGAGATCATCGAGGCCAAGACCCACGGGCGAGGTGAGGCCCAAAGACCGGCCCGGGCCTGGGTGGGAGGTGGGTGGGGATGGAGGAACCCAGGATACGGGAGGAGAAATGGCTGGGGCTGATCACAGTCACCTCTTGCTGAATCACCTTCGGACAACTGGTCCCCCTTCCCTGTCGGGGCTGGTAGAATCTTCCCCCACCAGGTCTCCTCCTTCCCCTCCCTCTCCTTCTTCTCCTCTCCGCTCACTCCACCTGTACCCACCCCAGACCCTCGGCAGCTCCAGCCACTCCAGGGCAATCCTTCCCCTCCTACACTTGTCCATGAGGTCGCTAGAGGGGAAGACCCTGCCTGGGCTCTAACCTGGCCCTCCCCCTCTGCCTCCAGAGCCCTCCTTCAGCAAAGACCAGCACCTCTTCACCCACATCAACTCCACACACGCCAGGCTTAACCTGCAGGGCTGGAACAACGGGGGCTGCCCCATCACGGCCATCCTGCTGGAGTACCGGCCCAAGGGGACCTGGGCCTGGCAGGGGCTGCGGGCCAACAGCTCGGTGGAGGTGTTTCTGACCGAGCTGCGGGAGGCCACGTGGTACGAGCTGCGCATGCGGGCTTGTAACAGTGCGGGCTGCGGCAACGAGACGGCCCAGTTCGCCACGCTGGATTACGATGGCAGTGAGTTGCGGAGGGCCAGGGGGACATAGAAGTAAACGTTGTCCTTGTCAGCCGCTGTGGTCACCTGCCAGCCCTCGGGCCTTTGCCGTGCACTGCCCTGCCCCGCCCCCCCCATGCCCCCCATCTACCGCGATGCTCACGCAGGTAGACACTAAGTAACAGGTGGCAGGCGTGCACCTAGGCAGGTGACTGGGCGGGCCCTGGGGCAGCCAGTTGGTGGGCAGCCGCTAGCTCACCAGGATGCCTGCCTCCCGCCCTTGCCCCCTTCCAGGCACGATCCCTCCCATCAAGTCTGCGCAGGGGGAGGGGGACGACGTGAAGAAGCTGTTCTCCATCGGCTGCCCGGTCATCCTGGCCACCCTGGGCGTGGCGCTGCTGCTCGTTGTCCGCAAGAAGAGGAAGGAGAAGCGGCTGAAACGGCTCCGAGGTGAGGCGCTTCCCATGGGCCTCGGGAGGGATGCTGAGACCTGGCCACACTGGTCCTTCAGACTCAAACAACCCTGGAGCCAAGGGGAGACCACCCCTGTTGGCGGCAGTGGAAAGCCCCATCTTTCTCCAGCCGGGCAGCTGGTGGTTTCTAACTGCTGACCTTTGGGGTCACAGCCCACAGCCTTCCATCAAACACCCTGATATCCAGATGAGAGGCTGCCAACCTCACCTAGGTCATCCACTGCCCCACCCACCTTGTGGCTGCCCAACCAAGCCCTGACTGCATACCAGTCCAGCCATCTTGATGGCTAAGGTCTTGAAACATCGGCATGGTGGTGGGTGGGCAGATGATGGTCCCGGACACCCTGGAAGCTCCATCCTCTCATCCAGGGTCCTAAGACGTGCCCAGGATATGGTCACTGGAGAGTAGTCCCAGCAGGTGGTCCCTGAGGCCCTGCCCATGGACCGTCTCTTTGTCATGTCAGGGGTAAAATACTCTGCATATCATCCCTGCCCCAGCACCTGACGCCTCAGTCAGCTGTGACTGGATCGGATTGACCTCCGATCCCCCAGGGACCAATACAGTGCCAGGCACCTACTAACCGCCTAATAAATGTTTATTGACTCATTTAAAAAGCACGTAATGAGTATCCTCAATTTTCCAGAGATTAGAAATACAGAGGCGAAGAAAAGGGACCATCCCTGGCCTTCACAGTCCCTAACGTAACGTAGGAGGCAACGCACAGGCACAGCACAGATGAGGGAATGACTAGCCTTACCCAGGGGATGCAGGAGCTGGGTGACTGGATGAAGGGAGGACTGGATGGGGGGTTGGATGAATGGGTTGAAGGATGGTGGCTTATGAGGATGACTGAGTGGATAAAGAATTGAGTGGGTAAGTGGATGGATGGATGGATGGATGGATGGATGGATGGATGGATGGATGGATGGACGGACAGATGGGAGCATGGACGGGGTGGTAGATGGTTGGATAGATAAAGAATTAAATGGATGGGTGGATGGATGGATGGATGGATGGATGGTGGTTGGGTTGGTAGATGGCTGGATGGATGAGGGGGGGATGTTTGGATGGATGGATGGATGAATGGATGGATGGATGGATGGATGGATGGATGGATGGATGGATGGATGGGAGGGTGGATGGGT